GTATTATCACAACCTAGCTAGTGTAAAAAGTTGTCAGAGTAACAAGTATTATCACAACCTAGCTAGTGTAAAAAGTTGTCAGAGTAACAGGTATTATCACATCCTAGCTAGTGTAAAAAGTTGTCAAAGTAACAAGTATTATCACATCCTAGCTAGTGTAAAAAGTTGTCAAAGTAACAGGTATTATCACATCCTAGCTAGTATAGACTAGTCAAGGTCACACCATTCAAAAATAGACGTTATGGAGAAAATCTAAATCCATTATGAAGAATATCATACAAAATAATTACCAAAGAAAATATATAGATATTTAGATTTAAAACCACCAAACTGATGTAGAAAATCAGGTTTTCTCAAAGTGAAAAAGCAAACTTTTACTAATTCACCCATGAAATTTCATAATGAACTATTCTAACCTTTGAATTGGAAGAGTACATAGTCCAAATGTTTCTTCAGGGGTGAATAACTTAAAGTAATTCTTATTTAATGATATTTTTGTACAGACAGGAAGCGGTGAACAGCTTCCTCTGATATTATCCTTAAAAGGTTTGGTTCTTGCAAATAAAAAAATTCTACCGAAATCTTTTCAATTTTTTCAAATACTTCTTTACAGATTTAATCATACTTATTCCAAATTTATCTTATTCCTAAAGGGAGGTGTAGATCAAAGGACGTGCTGCTGGAAACCCTGTCTATAGATAAAACCAAGGATCTCATTCTACAGTCTAAACAGTAATCATTTTGATTCATTGACTAAATTTCTGACCTTTTGAATAATTATCACCAAGATTCATGAATATTAGTATCTATTTATAGTATCTGAGTCATACCATGTATTCAACTGAAGTTTAAAGTTTGGATAATTTGGTCAGGGAGACGAGGAACAGTAACTTAAGGAAATCCAATTGAGATTTTCAACACAGAAGTAATACTGCAGTTATTGAAATGGTTTAACTCTAATATAATGCTTTATTATGGATGAGCAAATGTCCTACTTTACGTGGTGGCTTGTTCTTAGACTCCACACTAACACTACTGTTTATACCTGTCCTACTTTACGTGGTGGCTTGTTCTTAGACTCCACACTGACACTACTGTTTATACCTGTCCTACTTTACATGATGGCTTGTTCTTAGACTCCACACTAACACAACTGTTTATACCTGTCCTATTTTACATGGTGGCTTGTTCTTAGACTCCACACTAACATTACTGTTTATACCTGTCCTACTTTACATGGTGGCTTGTTCTTAGACTCCACACCAACACAACTGTTTATACCTGTCCTACTTTACATGGTGGCTTGTTCTTAGACTCCACACTAACACAACTGTTTATACCTGTCCTACTTTACATGGTGGCTTGTTCTTAGACTCCACACTAACACAACTGTTTATACCTGTCCTACTTTACATGGTGGCTTGTTCTTAGACTCCACACTAACACAACTGTTTATACCTGTCCTACTTTACATGGTGGCTTGTTCTTAGACTCCACACTAACACAACTGTTTATACCTGTCCTACTTTACATGGTGGCTTGTTCTTAGACTCCACACTAACACAACTGTTTATACCTGTCCTACTTTACATGGTGGCTTGTTCTTAGACTCCACACTAACACAACTGTTTATACCTGTCCTACTTTACATGGTGGCTTGTTCTTAGACTCCACACTAACACAACTGTTTATACCTGTCCTACTTTACATGGTGGCTTGTTCTTAGACTCCACACTAACACAACTGTTTATACCTGTCCTACTTTACATGGTGGCTTGTTCTTAGACTCCACACTAACACAACTGTTTATACCTGTCCTACTTTACATGGTGGCTTGTTCTTAGACTCCACACTAACACAACTGTTTATACCTGTCCTACTTTACATGGTGGCTTGTTCTTAGACTCCACACTAACACAACTGTTTATACCTGTCCTACTTTACATGGTGGCTTGTTCTTAGACTCCACACTAACACAACTGTTTATACCTGTCCTACTTTACATGGTGGCTTGTTCTTAGACTCCACACTAACACAACTGTTTATACCTGTCCTACTTTACATGGTGGCTTGTTCTTAGACTCCACACTAACACAACTGTTTATACCTGTCCTACTTTACATGGTGGCTTGTTCTTAGACTCCACACTAACACAACTGTTTATACCTGTCCTACTTTACATGGTGGCTTGTTCTTAGACTCCACACTAACACAACTGTTTATACCTGTCCTACTTTACATGGTGGCTTGTTCTTAGACTCCACACTAACACAACTGTTTATACCTGTCCTACTTTACATGGTGGCTTGTTCTTAGACTCCACACTAACACAACTGTTTATACCTGTCCTACTTTACATGGTGGCTTGTTCTTAGACTCCACACTAACACAACTGTTTATACCTGTCCTACTTTACATGGTGGCTTGTTCTTAGACTCCACACTAACACAACTGTTTATACCTGTCCTACTTTACATGGTGGCTTGTTCTTAGACTCCACACTAACACAACTGTTTATACCTGTCCTACTTTACATGGTGGCTTGTTCTTAGACTCCACACTAACACAACTGTTTATACCTGTCCTACTTTACATGGTGGCTTGTTCTTAGACTCCACACTAACACAACTGTTTATACCTGTCCTACTTTACATGGTGGCTTGTTCTTAGACTCCACACTAACACAACTGTTTATACCTGTCCTACTTTACATGGTGGCTTGTTCTTAGACTCCACACTAACACAACTGTTTATACCTGTCCTACTTTACATGGTGGCTTGTTCTTAGACTCCACACTAACACAACTGTTTATACCTGTCCTACTTTACATGGTGGCTTGTTCTTAGACTCCACACTAACACAACTGTTTATACCTGTCCTACTTTACATGGTGGCTTGTTCTTAGACTCCACACTAACACAACTGTTTATACCTGTCCTACTTTACATGGTGGCTTGTTCTTAGACTCCACACTAACACAACTGTTTATACCTGTCCTACTTTACATGGTGGCTTGTTCTTAGACTCCACACTAACACAACTGTTTATACCTGTCCTACTTTACATGGTGGCTTGTTCTTAGACTCCACACTAACACAACTGTTTATACCTGTCCTACTTTACATGGTGGCTTGTTCTTAGACTCCACACTAACACAACTGTTTATACCTGTCCTACTTTACATGGTGGCTTGTTCTTAGACTCCACACTAACACAACTGTTTATACCTGTCCTACTTTACATGGTGGCTTGTTCTTAGACTCCACACTAACACAACTGTTTATACCTGTCCTACTTTACATGGTGGCTTGTTCTTAGACTCCACACTAACACAACTGTCTATATCTGTCCTACTTTACATGGTGGCTTGTTCTTAGACTCCACACTAACACAACTGTTTATACCTGTCCTACTTTACATGGTGGCTTGTTCTTAGACTTGGAGCACTGTTTTAGGATGCGTCGCTGTTTGCGCGTGGCATACTGCAGTATCTGTGGAGGGATATTGTCCATGTTACTGAGGTTGTCCAGGAACAGCTGGTTCTGCTCCTTCATCAGGATCTTCTGTTTGTTCTTGGTGATTTTCCTTTATCAAATGTTTTGGTAATTATTTTGTCATTTCCCTTTGCAGAGAATTAGCCATAACAAAAGTCAGAATAAATCGACTGTTTCGTTTTTACCGTGTCGTGGCTACAACATTTCAGTAGAATAAACTTTAAAGTAGCCCTTGATTGGCTGCAGTGTCTATTGACACCGTCTCCACACCAGATTATGAGATAGATAATTAAGAAAAACAAGAGTTTGGCGAAGCGGTACATGATATGCCCGTCAAATGTTGAATGAGAAGTTTGCCACATAGGGTCAAAAGTGCATAAAGTTATCGGCCAGAAATTATGTTCCGACAATTCTACAAAAGGCCGTAAGTCTTTAAATTATGGCTGAAGTTTGAAATGAATCCATTCAAAATTTCTCAAGTTATTGAGCGGAAAGTGTTACATCAATTCTATAAAGGGCCATAACTCCCTTAATAACAGGCGGATAATGGTTATTAAACTTGTGCAATCTTTCATAGAAATGAACCATCTTATGAAGTTTAAAATTAATCTATTCAAAATTACTGAACTTACTGAGCGGAAACTGTTTTGGCAATTCTACAAAGGGCCATAACTGCGTAAATAACTGGCAAATAAATTTGGTTATCGAACTTGTGCGAGCTTTCATGGCAATGAACCTTCCTACCAAGTTTGAAATGAATCCATTCAAAATTATTCAAGTTATTGAGCGGAAACTAATGTATGCCCGCCCTCCCGAACGATCGCCCGAAGTATCGAGGCTCAGTAAAAAATATATAATTAAAGGAAACGGACATGCTAGCTTCTTTCACAAATGATATTATTACTAAAGTAAACCTGATTTTTAATGTTTTATTAACATTTAGTCTGGTCATCATGAATTGTGGGGAAAATCCAATATATAAACGATGAGCAGAAGATTCTTTGTTCACGAATTTCACAAGTGAGAAAATTGCACTAAGTCAAAGTAACATAACTACATGTAACTATGAAACTTTAAACAAGAAAGTTGATTCCACTCACCCTCTCTCCAGTAAGACTGTGTCCCGCCAAGGTTTCTTCATCTGGACAAATTCTTTATCGTCCACACTGAAACAACACGCACAACCTGTAAAGTTTCCTCCATTTCCTCCACATTTTCACCCTTCTTCATGTCCACTTCCTATCTAACAATGATCAAACCACCTCTGTGACGGACCAGTCATTGAGTGACATTACATCTTCACCAACAGTCGATTATTTCTATTTAAGGAATGCACTACGTTAGGATGGTCTAGGTGTATATGTAGTGGATCTGTACTGCGTTTAAACTATACATGTCTAGTGTAAGCTTATCCATTGGAGTCAATCAATAACCTCGTACTCCATAATCTTGTTAGTCTCTACCTAGTATCTTTGTCGCTGTAAAACAATTGTTTTTTCTGAAACAGGTTCACCACATTACAAGACAGAATGTAGTATTTAACAGCAAATCAATGTAAATAATGCGGACTGAATGATCAAATCTTCAAAAAGAATGTGAATTCAAAGTTTGTGACCTATGACCTTGAGTTGGTGGGTCATGTGACCTACTGTGACCTAATAATTTACCTTGTGGAGTCTTTGTAGGACTTGATGAGTTTAAGGATGGACCGTCCATCCATGTGATCGGGGATTGGTACTCCGGCCATGTCCAGGATGGTGGGTGCCAGGTCAACATTCATCACCACATTGGATACCCTGAGAAATAAAATAGGTTACTCTGACAGAGATCCTTAGAAATATTACAATATAATCTTAACAGAGATGTTGGAAACACTCTAATATTCCAAGGTGACATTCCAATACAATAATGGAAACAATAGGCCCAATGGTGCTCCACATTTACTAACAATAGGCTCAATGGTCCTCCACATTTACTAACAATAGGCTCAATGGTGCTCCACATTTACTAACAATAAACTCAATGGTGCTCCACATTTACTAACAATAGGCTCAATAGTCCTCCACATTTACTAACAATAAACTCAATGGTCCTCCACATTTACTAACAACAGGTGCAATGGTCCTCCACATTTACTAACAATAGGCGCAATGGTCCTCCACATTTACTAACAATAGGCTCAATGGTCCTCCACATTTACTAACAATAGGCTCAATGGTCCTGCACATTTACTAACAATAGGTGCAATGGTCCTCCACATTTACTAACACTAGGCTCAATGGTGCTCCACATTTACTAACAATAGGCTCAATGGTCCTCCACATTTACTAACAATAGGCTCAATGGTCCTCAACATTTACTAACAATAGGCTCAATGGTCCTCCACATTTACTCATACAATGTTATTGAATTCAAGGAGCAGAGACCCTAGCTATATATATAGCTTCTTAATCAAAACTCTGTCAAGGAGCAGAGACCCTAGCTATATATAGCTTCTTTATCAAAACCCTATCAAGGAGCAGAGACCCTAGCTACATATAGCTTCTTAATCAAAACTCTGTCAAGGAGCAGAGACCCTAGCTACATATAGCTTCTTTATCAAAACTCTGTCAAGGAGCAGAGACCCCAGCTACATATAGCTTCTTTATCAAAACCCTATCAAGGAGCAGAGACCCTAGCTACATATAGCTTCTTCATCAAAACTCTGTCAAGGAGCAGAGATCCTAGCTTCATATAGCTTCTTTATCAAAACCCTGTCAAGGAGCAGAGACCCTAGCTATATATAGTTTCTAAATCAAAACCCTGTCAAGGAGTAGAGACCCTAGCTATATATAGCTTCTAAATCAAAACCCTGTCAAGGAGCAGATACCCTAGCTATATACAGCTTCTAAATCAAAACCCTGTCAAGGAGCAGATACCCTAGCTATATACAGCTTCTAAATCAAAACCCTGTCAAGGAGCAGATACCCTAGCTATATACAGCTTCTAAATCAAAACCCTGTCAAGGAGCAGATACCCTAGCTATATACAGCTTCTAAATCAAAACCCTGTCAAGGAGCAGATACCCTAGCTATATACAGCTTCTAAATCAAAACCCTGTCAAGGAGCAGAGACCCTAGCTATATATAGCTTCTTAATCAAAACCCTATCAAGGAGCAGAGACCCTAGCTATATATACAGCTTCTAAATCAAAACCCTGTTGAGTTTATCGATAAACACTCTTTTACATCTTTACTTTGATCCTTGTTATTTCTGGTTCAAGATATTCCATTTGAACAAACTTGCTAGCTCTCTAACCAAGCTAGCTCCAAACTGAATATTTATCTTAAAGTCTAGGACTCCTGATTCTGAAAAAAATATTGTAAACATGTATGTGTTGACACCAGACGCTAAAAACCATGGCAAAATGTCATATTTTTTATTTGGAGGAAACAGTAAAGAGAATTAAGAGATAATAAACTGCATGTACCTATCTTATAAAAAGACAAGAAAATGAGCCTATTTCTGTACCTGGATCTGGGTTTGATCCCTGGCCCTCGGATGTACAGGGGAACCCTGATGTCAAAGTCATACGGCAAACCCTTGCCCTTGATGACCCCGTACTGACCAAGGTGGTAGCCGTGGTCAGAGGTGTAGATGATGTAGGTGTTGTCCAGTTCTCCCAGCATCCACAGCTCGGTATATACCTATCACAACACAACACAGCTCGGTATATACCTATCACAACACAGCTCGGTATATACCTATCACAACACAACACAGCTCGGTATATACCTATCACAACACAGCTCGGTATATACCTATCACAACACAACACAGCTCGGTATATACCTATCACAACACAGCTCGGTATATACCTATCACAACACAACACAGCTCGGTATATACCTATCACAACACAGCTCGGTATATACCTATCACAACACAACACAGCTCGGTATATACCTATCACAACACAACACACAATACATCCATGTAAATTAAATTTTCAATATATGTTTGAACATATTTTTTGCATATTACATGACTAAATTTGTAAATTAAATATTTCCATTATGTTTTTGTGAATCCAATCACACTTGGAATAACTTACCTGTGATATTTCAAAGTTACACAGTAATCAACTTTGCTCGCCTACTAGGGAAGATATCACAAGTTTCTTCATTGCTCTACATCTGCCATGTTTCACTAGTAAATGATGTTTAAACAAGCATTAACAAGTAGCTAGAGACATTCTCTGTGACCTCTATACCTTTTCCACCAGGTCATCCACAGACTGAAGCGTCTGAAGTCGTTTCTGTTGTAACACGTCAGTAAATTTCTGGTGTATGGGCTCCATCTGCTTGGTTATCTTTAACAGGTATTGTTTGTCGAGGTTTGGGGCCATGTTCCAGGTCGGTGTCCTGTAAACAGACACAATTTTATATGCTGGTTGGAAGATCACTGGTAAGAAACACATGGAGTGAACCACCCTGACTCAGACTCTGTTTTGGCCATGAGTTAGTGGTAGTCACAGAAGTCTTGTGTCTGAAAGATATCTGAACTCGTTGATTAAGGGGAGATAAATCACTCACCATATTTATCCTTCAATAAGCCCAGGGGGCCAACATATTATCTCTGACTTAAAGTAGGGGGTGGGCTTAATACAGGACAATGAAATAGCATCTGTTGCCATTTCTACTGAACTGCAATAGGTATGTGAAGTATTTTACCAGGCTTAATGCAGGATAAATCCTCTACAATACAAGGGAGATAACACCACAAAATTACATTGTTTATTACAGATTTAAAGTTCATTAGTAGGAGGAAGTTATTAACAAATAGACATTCTTTTTCAGTGTATACGTAGCTAACAAATGGGCTGCAAATAACTTACCTGTGTAAGGTGTATATATAACTTACCTGTGTAAGGTGTATACATAACTTACCTGTGTAAGGTGTATACCTAACTTACCTGTGTAAGGTGTAAACATAACTTACCTGTGTAAGGTGTATACATAACTTACCTGTGTAAGGTGTATA